AATGCAATCAGACATTAAGAAGAAATAAGAGATTTAGATGGAATAAGACAAAGTTGTCTGTGGAAGAGCATCTATGTCTCCAAAAAGAGAATATTTGTTTTTAAGTAAAGAAGCACAATAAAATATATAGCCTCATTCTGTATATAAATTTAATTACTAAAGGGACATACACTAAATCTTAATAGTGATTATCTGTAGGTGATAGGATTACAGATAAATTTAATTTTCCTGTGCTTTTTCAGTATATTTCAAATTTTCTATAATCAGCATATATTCCTTTTATAATCAGAAAAGTATGTTTAAAAGTATATCAACACACACATACACACCCAAAGACTGGGAAGTGACAAAATATTTAAGAAAAGAAAAATGGAATTGATCAGACACCAGGTATTTAGCAAAACTGATCTTTTAGCTAACACAGCTATGTACAACTGGGGATATAGCAAAAAAGAACAATGAGTCCTGCCCATTAGAAAAGGTAAGAAATCTGCACAAATAATTACAGTGTAAAACATGACAGGTGCCACAGAGAAATGCAAAGAACTGCAGGGATCTGAAAAGTGAAGATGACTTTCTCATAGGGAAATCAGGTAAGAACATACAACCAACAGGATTTGGTAAGAGAGCAGATGTGGGCTACGGGTGATTTCCTGGTTTGTGAAATCAGCAACTGAAAGGGAGGTAGACACACTCATGCCGTGATTTGGGTGGTGAGTTCAGGAGTGGGTATTTTAAGGTTCAGTTGCCCATGGCGATGCCCAGTGGGCATCTATATGCCATGAATAGAGACCTGAGAAGAATATAAGGATCTGTGAGTCTCAAGACAGTACCCGAAGTCATGGGGGTAGGCAAAATCATGAGGGAGAGCATGTCCAGTGAGAAGAGTGTCTGAGGCAGAATCCTGAGGAGCAGCCAAATGTAAGGGCAGGCAGAAAAGAAGAGATTCCCACAAGAAGCTGGGAAGGTGAAGTCGGGAGGCGGGAGGAAAAATAGGAGAAGGCAGAGGTGTTGACGCCAAGGGAGGAGGAAGTTTGAACAGGGCGCAGGCGCAGGTGGGCCTGCGGGATAAAGACTAGAAGCATCAACTGGATTTGGTAGCAGGGAGGTCTCGGGTGACCTTGGCAAGAGGAGGATCAGCAAAGAGCCAGAAGGCGAATTTGGAAGGGAAACTGTGGGACTATCATCTCAGGGATCAAAAAGAGAATTTAGAGTGGCTGAAATGTACTCCCAAAGCAATTAAAAAGTCTTCACATCTATTAAGCAAACACAGCTTGATACTGTATTTTAAAAGACTGTAACACAGTGATAACTGCAGTAGACCATTTAAAAAGCTGAAGTCAAAAAGCACACAATCCTTCTCTTACACATAATGGAGCCCAAAGCAACTACTTTAATTAAGTGGGTAAAACAGTTCAATATAAAAATAAGAATATTAGTTGTGGCATGAAACTGGGAGCCCTTTTTGGTAGGTCAGTCATGGAGGCTACACTGGATTTGGGGCATGCCTTTTCCTAAATTCACCCAGCAAAGGGGAAAAAGGGAGCAAATTCTACAACCTACAGATACTCTCCTCTCTTACAAAGAGTGTGAATCTGCTCCAGCCCACTGAAGGTATGTGTACCCCGAGGAAGCAGGGACTTGACCAGAGACAGGAGAAAGCTGAAGACAAGGGTCTCAGCTCAGGGGCGCTGAGAGAGACCAAATGCAGCCTCAAATGCTCGGGGTCCCACAGCTGCAGAGAAATTTCTCACAAGTTGCCAGCCAAGGGGCAACTAATAAGTTAAAACCACTAGACTTTACTCTGAGGGCCCGATGACGAGCTCTGAATGTTCAGAGCCCACACGGTGAAAGGTTGGCAAAAAGACAAAATTCCTTTTCAAGGTAACATCACTAAAAGAAGTAAAAGAGTGGTTTTCAAATTGTTGGGTGTGTGTTCATGGCTGTTCAATACTACAATTTTGATGGCAGACCTGCCTAAATTCAGAAGTAAACATATATGTACAAAAGCACCTTTCAGAAAACTTAAAATATTTTCTATTCATCAGAGCAGCATACAAAGGTATATAACATTATATATTTTTGATGAAGCTTAAACTTTTTCTTTACTGCAACTGATAATATATACTGCTGAGCCTGGTCTTACTGAAAGTTGAGGTGGGCATGCGACAGGACCTGGTATAGGGCAGAGGTCACTTTGGCACAGATAAGATGTGAGACACAACAGATATTATCAAGCAGACACCAAGAAAGATTGTGTGTTTGAGACACACGTGAGAATTTTACCTCCAGAGTATACAAGAGACCACAATCAAGACAGAAAACTCGATTTGCTGTGAAGAATTAACCAATAAACAATATGCTAACAGTTTGTATCTCTGGTTATATGAAATATAAACTGTTGTACATTGATCAAAATTTGAAAGTATTTTTTTATATGAGGTTAGTTATTCCTGGGGATTCAAGATAGATTCATTAACTTCTAAGCATTTGCCCCATTATTCTAGATGAATAAAGGCACTCTTTTTCAAAAAAAAAAAAAGTAAAGTATGTTTACAGTACACCAGTTGAAGGGTACCATATCCCACCAGCTGAAGATCACTAGAGTTACAGAACAAAGACCCCAGGGTGCCAGTAGAAGGTGCAGGAGCCAGAGATTGTGAGATGAGCTAAGGGGCCACAGCAGCAGCGAGGGTCACCCTGAGGAGGACGTGCAGCAGCACAGGAAGGGGAGACATGTGCGGCCACCAAAAGGAGCAGGAGCAACCCAGGCCCAAGGACGGAAGTCTAATTTTGAAACTGGAGAGCATGCTGGTGCCCGAATATCATTTAAGTTGCTGTTTCCAGGGTCGATTTTGCCTAGGAAAATTTGGAGGACTTGTTTGGTATATTTATTATGGTGTGTTTAGCTAGTTGATTTGGAAGACTTTTGGACACCAACTATCCAGACTATTAACACAGGGCTCAGTGCTCAAGATGGTCACCAAATGGCTGGTCAGGTGATGCTAATTCTCTCCAGCTGTTTTTGATCCTAGGAAAATAGGTCATAAAATCCCACTAATCAATAAGTAGGGTAGGGAGGAGACAAGGGTTAAAACTATTCTATAAACTAGACTACCATCAATGGGGGACAGAGGATATGCTGTTAAAGGCTAGAAGCTGAATACAGAAATGTTTTAAAATTTATGCTCTATCTTATTTATTTCAAAAAGATTTAAAGCAGCTTACTGAAATATACCTTACTCAAAGGAGAAAGTCAGACACAGAACAAATTCAGAACAAGAGAAAATTAGATGTGGGTAAATAAACTCAAAACAAGAGAATAAGATTAGGTTGCATGTTATAAAGTCCTGTAAGGCTGTTGGAGGCAAGCCATAAATAGGGTCCTGAGCTTCCTAGAGGCCAACGTAAAGAGCTAAAAACCCAGCCACTCAGAGGACTCCCACTGCTTAAAATGTTAACAACAAAGCAGCTTTTTGGTCCTGAGAAAAAGCTTTTCTCATAGGTCCACTTAAAGGAGACACTATGTGGCAGACCGAGAAAACTCCTTAAGAGTTTCGTGCAAGAGACATACCGTCCAGAACCATGCGGCTCGTTTCCACTCTGTTCCTCAGTGCAGGTTTAAGGCATAAGGCCAAGGTGCAGATCAAGAGAAGCAAGACTAACAAGGGCCAAGACAGGCAGGCCAAGTGTTTGTAGCTAACTTATGGTTGGGCCTAATCCAGGAATTAAATTTAAACCATTTATAGCATGGACATCTCTTTGGATAATTCTTTATGAACATTCTTCTTAAAATCAAGCTTTTGTTAAGATTTAGACCAAAGAGAGTTTGAAATTACACATTTCAGCTAAAACATACAGCAGAGCTACTCTGTGCTGCTGATTAAGGGCAGAGGAGTTTGCTCTAACAATCAACCTAATTTCCTTAAAAACAGTCTATAAGGAGCAAGCCTACGAGAGCTCGGGCTTGTAGACTAAGAGATTAAGCGCAAGGGCTCTTGGAGTCAGACCTGAGTTTGAGCATAACCTCTACGCTCACTAACTGTGGGAACTCTGTGAGATCCTCCGATACATGGGAATCTGTTCAATGTCCGCAAACGTCTTCTGAGCATCCACAGTGTGTAGTGTAATCAAATAATATCCACTGCCTTCAGTCGTTTGTGAGGATTAAATAGGGGAAGTCACTGAAAATATTTAGCCCAGTGACTAGGTGCATAGTGAGCATTCAGTAAGTGTTAAAACTGATAATAATAACAACAAAATAATCATAATAAAAGGTTTCTGGTTCCATTCTAATGCATAAATAATTACATGATTAAGGTCTCCAAGTTCATTACTGAAAATAGCCTGGAATTTTAGCCTGGAAAATGTTCGACGTCAGCCACAAAGGCATCAAAAATATGAGTCCCACATTTTTAAACCTTGTTAACTCACTGATAACTCCAGGATAAATGTTGTGCCTTGCGGTACCTACATGAGTCAACCTGCTATAAAATCCTTAGATATGAGCTGGTTAAATATTAGAGAGCATCTGCCAAAATTATGATTCTAGTTGTTGACTGCTGAAGTCTTGATGTTCTGATGTAACTGAGGGAAATATGCTAGTACCTTCACTCATCTCTCAATTTAGTGATACTACATGGAATATAATTCTCCCATAAAATGCCTCTGAAAATAAAAAGCCTCCTCAACCCTGAACAGAGAACAAAACTGCACTGTATTAGGGATGCCGGGCAGGCAGCTAAATCACTCATTAGCCAAGAGTCGTCTTTCTGCACAACAGTCCCACAGGCAAAATTCAAATTCGTGCCTGAGCAAAAATACAAATTACTACATATCAGACTTCAAAAATCTTCACACAGTCAAAATCTTAAACATTAAAATCTGCAGATGCCAACCAAGTTCATGATAAACCAACCTTTTTGGTTGTACTTAGTACAGCCAAACATCCTTTGAGGCCACCCTGAGTTCATAACAACAAAACCATGCTACCATCACAGAGACACGTCTGTATGTTTCTTTCTGATACACAGGGGAACTTGCAGCTGGTTCACATGCAGGCTTGAGCCATTTAGGTACAAATTTTAAAAGGAATAGACAATATACTACCCTATTTTATCCTGACTTGAAATTTCCTGCCAGTCATGTCTTTACCGGAAGTATCAAGACGTGGGGTTACATGAGGATCCGCAGCTGGCCTGGGCAGCAGAAAGGTCCATGTGGTACCCAGACCATTCATCACTTGTAACATATCAGTTTCTTCTCCATTGAGTCAAAGGCCAGGAAAAGATCAATAAAAGCTACAAACAATCTTATGCTTTTCCTGACAGATTCCGATATAAAGTGATGAAGAATGGTCTATGGGGTAATAGCTGTGCCTTGCTTAGAATGCTGCCACAAGAGGCCAGACTTTCAATTCATCAAAAAGAAAAATGGCATACGTTTTAGACCAAATGCACTGCAAGCTAATGAATCTAACTATATTGGAGTAGGGGGAATCAAAGAAGCTTGTTTTCCTTTTTCCTTATTTATTTTTGATGGGGTTAGGCTACTCTCTAATTTCAACCAAACTGAACCATTCATTCATTCAATTAATATTTACTAAGTAACTAATACTGTGCATTGTGTGTACTAGGGACACAGTCCTAAATAAAGAGTCACGATTCCTATATTTAGGGAGTTGATAATCTATATCATTGTTCATAGGATTAAAAAAAAAGTGCTAGGGATGACAGTCCACTAGTAGAGAAGACATTTTGATCAGGCGCTTTTTTGTTTGAGCTTTTAAATCATCTACTGTATTAGGGAATGTTACAAATACATTTGGGGCTTCCTGCCCAGCTCATGCTTTTTTTGGAGGGTTTTTTTTTTTGTATATATATAATTTTATTGAAGTATAGTCAGTTTACAATGCTGTGTCAATTTGTGGTGTAAGCACAATGATTCAATCATACATGAACATACATACATTCATTTTCATATCCTTTTTCACCATAGGTTACTACAAGATATTGAATATAGTTCCCTGCACTGTTCAGCATGAACTTGTTTATCTATTGTATATATCAGTATCTGCAAATCTCTAACTCCCAGTTTATCCCCTCCCACCCCACCCCCTACTGGTAACCACAAGTTTGTTCTCTATGTCTGAGAGTCTGTTTCTGTTTTGCAAATAAGTTCATTTGTCTTTTTTTTTAAATTCCTCATATACGTAAAATCATATGGTATTTTTCTTCCTCTTTCTGGCTTATTTCACTTAGAATGACAATCTCCAGGTCCATCTACGTTGCTGCAAATGGCATTATTTTATTATTTTTTATTGGTGAATAGTATTCTATTGTATAAATATACCACAGCTTCCTTATCCAGTATCTGTAGATGGACATCTAGGTTGTTTCCATGTCTTGGCTATTGTAAATAGTGCTGCTATGAACATTGGGGTGCATGTATCTTTTTGAATTAAGGTTCCCTCTGGATATATGCCCAGGAATGAGATTGCTGAATCATATGGTAAGTCTTTTTTTAGTTTTTTGAGGAATCTCCATACTGTTTTCCATAACGGCTGCACCAAACTACATTCCCACTAACAGCGTTGAAGGTTTCCCTTTTCTCCACACCCTCTTCAGTGTTTATCGTTTGTGGACTTCTGAATGATGGTCACTCTAACTGGTGTGAGGTGATATCTCATTGTAGTTTTGATTTGCATTTCTCTGATAATTAGCAATATTGAGCATTTTTTATGTGTTTATTGGCCATTTGTATGTCTTCAATGGAGAATTGCTTGTTTAGGTCTTCTATCCACTTTTCAATTGGGTTATTTTTTTTTTCTTATTAAGTTGTATGATCTGTTTATATATTCTGGAAATTAAGCCCTTGTCAGTCTCATCTTTTGCAAGTATTTTCTCACATTCCATAGGCTGTCTTTTTGTTTTGTTTATGGTTTCCTTTGCTGTGCAAAAGCTTATAAGTTTAATTAGGTCCCATTTGTTTGTTTTCGCTTTTATTTCTATTGCCTGGGTAGACTGCCCTAGGAGAACATTGCTGAGATTTATGTCAGATAATGTTTTGCCTGTGTTTTCTTCTAAGAGGTTTACAGTGTCTTGTCTTATGTTTAAGTCTTTAAGCTATTTCGAGTTTATTTTTGTGTATGGTGTGAGGGGGTGCTCTAATTTCATTGATTTATGTGCAGCTGTCCAGTTTTTCTAACATCACTTGCTGAAGAGACTGTTTTTACTCCATTGTACGTTCTTGCCTCCTTTATCAAAGATTAGTTGACCAAAACTTTGTGGATTTATTTCTGGGCTCTCTATTTTGTTCCATTGATTCATATATCTGTTTTTGTACCAATACCATGCTGTTTTGATTACTGTCAGCTCATGCTCTTTGGAACTGACTTTTGTCTCTATCCTTCTCAGAGAGAATCTGTCCTATCCACAAACTTTGCTGAGGATATGGGGTCTAGGAGGCCACAATTATATCACATGTCCCCACTACTCTGAACACAACTGTTTGAATCAAGGATAGATAGCTGGACCAGAGGAACCAGTCCATAACATTCTATTTGGAATTTGAAATTAGGGTCCAAGTATGAACAGACTATGATGGGCAATGGAGATGCAAGACCAAGGGTACTGAGGTAGATGGAAATCAATTTAATAATAAAAACAGTTAATAAGTAGTGTTCCATGTGGTATATATGTATACTATGTGGTGTATATTATATATATGTGTGTGTGTGTCTGTGTATGTGTATATATATATATATATATATACACATACACTATGTGGTATATAGGTATGTGTGTGTATATTTATGTGTGTGTGTATATATATATATATATGGACACCACAGCTTCTTTCATAAGAAAGAATAAAATAATGCCATTTGCAGCAACATGGATGTACCTGGAGATTATCATACTAAGTGAAATAAGCTAGAAAGAAAAAGAAAAATACCATATGATATCACTTTTATATGTGGAATCTAAAAAAATGACACAAATGAACTTCTTACAAAATAGAAACAGACTCACAGACATAGAAAACAAACTAATGGCTACCGGGGGGAAGTAGAGGAGGGGTGGAGGGATAAATTGGGAATTCAGGGTTTGAAGATACTAACTACTATATAAAAACAAATAAACAAGGTCATACTGTATAGCACAGGGAACTATACTCAATATCTTGTAATAGCCTGTAATGAAAAAGAATATGAAAAGGAATACACACACACACACACACACACACATATATAAAACTGAATCACTATGCTGTACACCAGAAATTAACACAGCATTGTAAACCAACTATTTTTCAATTAAAAAAAAAAAAGCCAGTTGATGAGAACTTAGTATATGCCAGGCCCTTGCCAGGGCCTAGAAATGCAACAATGAACAAGGCAGACATGGTTCCCCTTCTCATCTCTAGTGGATGACAGAGTAGTTAGTAATCAAATAAATGAAATCAATACCAGTTGTGATAAATACCATTAAGAAAATAAAGAGGATGCTGAGGATAGCATGAAGAGGACTACCGTAGAGAGAGTGGTCAGGGGAGGCCTCTCTGACAATGTGGAATTTTAGCTGAGACCAGCCATGAGCAGTGCTGGGGAAGCCATCCCAGGAAGAAGGAACAACAAATGCAAACTGGGAAGAACTCAAATGAGTCTAAAGACGAATATCAGGCCAGATGTCTGAAGCACTGTGAGTAAAGGGCATGAAAGGACGTGGGAGAGGAAGGCAGAACAGTGATCACGCAGGATCTTGTAGGGCTTTGTAAAGGGTCTGAACTTGTAGGGCAGTGGGCCACTGAAGGGTCTTCAGAAATAAAAGACAATATGTTGTCAACATTTTAAAACATCACTCTGCTGTAAGGACAGACATAACCAATGAAATAGAAGAGAAATCCCAGAAATTAACCCTTGTATACATGGTCAATTGATTTTTGACAAGGATGCCAAGACCATTCAATGGGAAAAGGACAGTCCTTTCAAGAAATAATGCTGAGAAAACTGGATATCCATGTGCAAAAGAATAGAGCTGGACTCTTACCTTATACCATATGCAAAAATTAACTCAAAGTGGATCAAAGACATAAATATAAAAGCTACTACTATAAAACTCTTAGAAGAAAACAAGGGGAATCTTCATTACATTGGATTTGGCCATGATTTCTTGGATAAAACAACAAAAGTACAGGTCATAAGAGAAAAAAAACCAGACTTCATGAAAATTAAAAATTTGTGTGCATCAAAGGGCATTGTCAACAGGATAAAAGGACAACCCACATAATAGGAGACAGGAGAAAATATCTGCAAATCATGTGTCTGATAAAGGTTTAATATCCAGACTATATTATGAACTCCTACAATTCAACAACAAAACAAACAATCCAATTTTAAAATGGGCAAAGGCCTTATATACTATTTTTCCAAAGAAGATATACAGATGGTCAATAAGCACATAAAAAGATGCTCAACATTATTAATCATTAGTGAAAGGCAAATGAAAACAACCATGAGATATCATGTCACACCTATTAGGCTGGTTATTAAAAAAAAAGGAAAATAACAAGTGTTGGTGAGAAGGAAGAGAAACTAGAGTCCTGGTGCACTGCTGGTGGGAGTGATGCAAAATGGTGCAGCAGCTGTGAAACTGGTTTGAGAGTTTCTCAAAAAAGGTGAAAACAGAATTACCACACAATCTAGCAATTCCACTCCTAGTTAATATATCCAAAGAAAATCAGTGGCTTGAGCACATATATACCAATGTTCATAGCAACATTATGCTCAATAGCTAAAAAATGGAAACAATCCAAGCAACCATCCATAGATGAATAAACAAAATGTGGTATATACATGGTGGAATATTATTCAGCCATAAAAAAGAATTAAATTCTGATACATGCTGTAACATGGATGAAACTTGAAAATATTATGCTAAATGAAATAAACCAGGCACAAAGAGAACAAAGATTGTGTAATTCCACTTACATGTATTTGGAGAATAGGCA